ACTACAGTATATGAAGGTAGATACTGTAGGTAGAAATTATAGGAAGGGATATAGAAATGTTATGGAAAGTACACGGAGAGAATTAAAAAGGTAATAGAAATATAAGGGAACAGATGGTAAATATTTCGACCTGGAGACAGACCAAGGGTGGTTGGGGACGACGGCCATACACTTGAAGGAAACAGCTCAGGTGTCCGCCTAGTTCACTGTCGAGGACGAGCCTCTTGAGGTGCACTGATATTGATATTAAAACAGTTTATTTAGCCATAAGAACACAGATACAGAGTCGATAAAAAGTCATAATATTAACATGGCTGAGCCAGTTGAGAGCCTGAGCTCTCTTGTAGGCACCTGATATACATTGTACATTTATCACAAGGAAGTATTATGTGACATTTAGCATCATCTAGAATAGTATACATAGCATGGTGGTAATTAGGACATCTCATAATGTTACCACGGTTATCACTTCGATATTTATTTATTTAATTTCATTTATTTTATTTTTTTTTACATTTATATTATAAATATGTACATAATTTACAGCGGAAATTGAAAAAAAATTATGATAAGGGAGGGAAGCAGTACAGCATGGGTTGTATTAAGGTGGAACAAGAGGACAGAGCTGTCAGGAATATGTCTAGTTACAAATATATTTATTGCAATGGTAATTTCTATCTATCTACATGATAGTTTCTGATAATACGGTTTTGGTGGTACAATAAAGCAGGCATCTAAAGTAGGTATTACAAAAATATATTAATACTTAGACAACAGATATTTTTGGAGATGATTTAAAGGAAGGGAGCGTAGTCTTTGCTCGGATGGGTGGGGGTAAGTTGTTCCACACCTTCACACCGTGATATTTTATGGAGGTGTGGGACTGAAAGGAGCGCATGGTGAAGGGTCTTAGTAGCTCTGGGTGCCTTAAGTTGTATCTCTGATTATTCCGGAACTGGAAGTAATTATTGCCAAGCAATTATTGATAGATTTGTAAACAAAGAGGCACAGCAGTAAGTGTTAATATCCCCGAATTTTAACATTTTCACTTAAGTAAATGGTTCGTTTGTGTGACTTTTTTTTCAAGTAGGTCAATGTCCTACAACTCTCTTTTGTGCAGTCTTCTGATTTATTCTTGTACCTGTAAAATATGGAAACGTCTCGTGTGTGTGTGTGTGTGTGTGTGTGTGTGTAAAAACTACATCGAAACACTGTACCATAAAAATATCTCGCACAGTGGGTCCGGAAGGAAATAATACGAATTTAGCATCTCTCCTTCCAGGGTTGTTTTAAGTCGCTGCTCGCCAAAGGTCAAGAGTTCACCCTGCTGACCTATCGCTTTCACGCCCTTCTATTGTTGGTGGGTTGAGAGGTGCTTGCTTGTAGGTATCCTGTGTCTCCGGGATATATATATATATATTTTTTATCCGATGATTAGTCCTTCTGCTTATTTCGCTTCTACAGGTTCTTTTCTTGTGGGAAGTTTGTGGGGTTGTTAAAGCGACTTGAGTATTATTTTGGGAACTGGGGCTAGCATCTTTGTTGGGTTATTGGTTTTGGGTTTTGTTTGTTTGGTGGGGAGCTAAACGTCTTGGTGAGTTTAGTTAGGTTGTTGGTTTGGTGATGTTCTTCGTTATATCTTATGAAAAAAGTCTTTGTTAGTTGTTTTTGAGATAATTGGTCAGATGTTACTAGAGTATATAAGAGTCAGTTAGCCCTGCTGAGTGGCGTAAGCGTATTAGCATAAAGATGATATTCAATTAAATTAAAGTCTCACTTTGAAAAGGCATGAATGGTGCATTTGTTCCGTCCAGGGCATGTGTTTTTGAGTTTGTCGGTGTATTGGTTTGATGTGCTCTCCGTTTACCTGTCGAGAGACGCCATTGAGTTATGATGAGACTGTCGGCAGTAATTTCTAAGTCGAGACTGTTTTGTTGGCGTTGAAAGGGCTGTGGATTTTATGGTGAGTATGCATTTGTTTTTAGCCTCTTGATTTATTTGATATTTTATTCTTTTTAATTTCATGGGTGAAAGTTTGTTCATCAGGAATCAGAGTCGGTGTTTCAGGAGGTTTTGTAGTCTGTAGTGTTCTCTGTTCTGTAGATTTAGAAACACACACCTGTGATTTAATTAAGCGGAACCACACACAGAAATGTTACGTTCAAAATGACTTGTAATTTGCACCGAGCCTCGAGCGCTACTACTGTCAACTCACTCTCGGTCCTCGGGAGGGATGGATGCTTTATAAGATTTCGGACCCATATTTTTTGGTCCTGCAGCCCCACTAGTTTACACTTCCACCCGGATGAGTCGTGGCCGGAGAGGGTGACTGTGCCTGTGTTTTTCCTATCAGTGTTCTTTTTGTGTAGCTAGTTTCCGTTTCACGCCCGACTCTATCCCTCTCCTAGAGTTGACATTTCCAGGACGAGTGCCTCTACTTTCTTGTTATGTAGGTTGTTTTTTTACTGTCTTTTTATGATTACCTGCTTTATGTTTTTTATCCCTTCCAGGGCTTTTTTGTTGTACTGTAATTTCCTCCCTGGCGATACTGATGACCTCCTGTAATAACTATATATGATCAGTGTGGTTGTTTTTATTTTAATAGAATAAGTGAGTGAGGAGCTGTGTGTGTATGGGGGGAGGAGGTATCACCTTTGAACTACAGATATGAAGTTTAGTGAAACCCCAAAAGACAACATTCGTTTAATCTTGGTAAGTAGTTTAAAGGTTTTCAGCTCAAGCGCTGGCGAGTCGGGCGCGAACGAGCTGGTAGTACCGGGATCACTAAGTGAGGAATACCCCAGGCTCTCGTCTCCCCACCGGTCACCACTGCGGGTGTCAGCTTCTGGAGATTGCAGTGGACTGGAAAGAAGCTGTATACCCTTTGGTGGTTCTATCTGTTCACGTGGAAGCAATAGGCCCCCCAGCTTATTTATTTTATATTAAAACACCCTACCTAAGTACCCGGGAGGTTGCCAGCGCCAGTGCTTCAACCGTGCGAAATAAATCCAAGACGCCTAATCTCCACTCTGATCCCTCCATCTCGACGTACCTGCGCCCCTCCTCCCCAGCCGTCCACCTGTAGCCATGCACTATCACACAAAAAATTAGTGGCCCTGTCTCGGTCAGGCCACCCACCTACTCAAAAGGCTTAGTCACTTACATTGTTTTCCGGAATCACAGGTAAATACTTTTGTAAATAGTTCGTCTCTTGTTGCTTTGGATATCACGGATCTTTTAAGCATAATGATCTGCAACCTTGCAACTTCCAGTGGAGTGTTTATCGGTTTGTGGCCAGAGACTCTAGTATAAGTTGGTAAAGGGTAAAGCTGTAACATCAGTCCCCGTTGATAACGTTGGTCTCGTGCTCCTGACCTTATGTGTAGAGGAAACTGTCACATGGAAGAGAGAAAATATTTACAGTTTTTTTATTCTTTGGGACTTGTCAGTCATTATAGGCGTGGATGCAGCATGCCACCTCACTCCAGGTAAGGTGGCAGGAACGCATTGTGTTAAGGGTAAATAATAGATTCCCTTGCTTATCTTAACGGTGAATAAGTATATAATGTGAGGCGTGGATGGTCTGGCCATGAATATTAGGGGTGAGAGCGGGCGGCGCTTACATCTCCTGGACTGGTGATAATTTAACCTTCCTGTGTTCTTCTGAAGGTCATCTGTCCGACGTTCCTTTTAGCGTTCAGTCCTCCCTTATAAAACTTTGTCCAGATTTGGCCTACTTTATGGGTGCTTTGGTGGATGGGTAGTGGGAGGCCCCTGTCTCGTACTGGTAGACGGGTAGTGGGAGGCCCCTGTCTCGTACTGAAGGCGGGAAGTGAGAGGCCCCTTGTCTCATACTGGTAGACGGGTAGTGGGAGGCCCCTGTCTCTTACTGGTAGACGGGTAGTGGGAGGCCCTTGTCTCGGACTGGTAGACGGGTAGCGGGAAGCCCCTGTCTCATACCGTCAGACGGGTAGTGGGAGGCCCCTGTCTCTATTGGTGACGGGTAGCGGGAAGCCCCTGTCTCATACCGTCAGATGGGTAGTGGGGAGGCCCTTGTTTCATACCGACAGGTAGTGGGAGGCCTGTTTTATACTGTGGTAGGTAGTGGAGATCCGTCTCATATTGTAGACGGGTAGTGGGAGGTCCCTGTCTCAATTGTAGACGGGTAGTGGGAGGTCCCTGTCTCATACTGTAGACGGGTAGTGGGAGGCCCCTGTCTTATAATGGTAGACAGGTAGTGGACGATCCAACACAACCTTTCATTGCTATTGTCATGTGACAGGTGTCATGGCGTGGCTGTGAGTCGACAAGTAAACCACATGTAAAACACACGAGGTACAGGTTACCTCTCACCCCCACCACTCGAGTTGACGGTGGTGGTGTGCGCCATAGCTGCCCTCCGGACGCTGTGTGTAAGGTGATAGGAGAGGTAGGTTTGGAGAGTAGAGACAAGAAGTGTTTCACAATACATGTTGGTGTGTTGTAACATTGTGGCAGCTGACAGTACGGTTTTTTTTTTCACCTGTGTTTCAAAGCAGTTTTTCAGGGTCAACCGTACTCGCTCACAGATACTCTGCCAATTACCTGGTTTCATATGCACATTAAAATTAAATTTTATTTTGTTTGGCTAAACAACAGCAGCGATGAGAAAATATCTTGGAGGGGGCCACTGTATAAATATAGTATTATGACACATTTCATTAGCGATGACAAACTTGACTCAATCGTGTGAAAGGTCAAGGTCACGGTGTGTTGGAGGGGGGGCAGATATCACCTCTGCACGGTAGTGCGGACAGGCCCCAGGCCGTCACCAACACCTCCTCCTTTCCCCTGACTATATCCCTCCTCCTAGAGACATTATTAGCGACTTGCCACGCTTTTACATAAAACAAATGAATTGTACCGGAAATCCTCCCCTACACGCCCATCATTCTCTAACTATATGTGAGTTGCTGACAAAACCCATGGCCCTTCACCACTTGCATATCACGAAGGCAAGCATGAGCTCCGGCATGTTTCCTGTTGGCCGCTGTAAACGCCCATTAAACCAGTCCTCGCGGGGTAAATTTGAATTCCGAATCCCCACAAGATAAAGGTGAGGAGTTGTTTGCTACATCTCTATGTCCGAGAGATGCGTTGTGTGGGTAGTTTAGTTGTTGATGTATAATATTTGTGGTTCATATCTTCACAAGGTACGGGGCGTCAATCAGGTGTTGCATCAAAACAGACATATACATATACGTGTAAACCGCCAACACACACACACACACACACACATACACATACATGCCAGGTGGGTGAGTCACTCACTGGTGTTGAAGTTATCGTCCTCCCTCATGCTAACTCATGGTCGTGCTGACACTTCACAATCTCTTTGGTGTTTCGTATTGATATTCAGTATTTTTGTTTTCTGTTAGAAGTCAACCCAGAGTGAAGCTGAGAAAACTGAATGTGTTAGGAATTATTGGTTCGCCTGTAAGGAGAGAGTTTCTTAATATCCTTGCCATGGTCCCCTGTGTCCTCGTCCATGGACCACACAATTCCCTTGTGTGTGTGTTGTGAGTGACCGTGGTGTTTTATTAAATCCTGACGAAGATGTTGCTCAAGCTTTTTATGAGGCGCTGTGTAAACATTCCAGGTCCTTGCTTATGTTCGACCTTACTGTTGTTGATTGTGCTGCCAATTTGTGCTGGAACACATGTGACATATCACCTGAATAATAGGCCCCCAGCTTATTTCACCTGGTGATTAAGCACCCTAACGCCCACCTAACCTCCCAGGTAGTGTTAGTGTTTAACCATCAGGTAAAAATAAGATGAGGGGCTAATCTTCAGGTGATTCCACATGTGTTGTGTTACATGAAGATATTGGAACAGTTTATTTTTCCAGAATAATATAGATACAAAGTGGACAACAGTATACAGTATTGACATCGCTAAGTCTTTCGAGTACTGAAGCTATTTTGAAAGGCTTTTGATAGCTGATGTAGCTGTATGTGTCCTAGAAAATGTTTAATGACAGTTGTGGGTAGCTATACTATATGTACATTATACGTAGTTTGACTATACATTTGGTATATCCGTTTTATAAAAGAAAATAAACTGTTAACGTAGCTAGGATGGTTGGAAGGTGTCATCTGCGTTATCTTACGACCTACTCCGGAAAGTCCTTGTATCGATAAAGACTTGATGGTATTTCTCATCTTGCCCGTCCGTCCGTCCACCAGAGCTCTCCCGGATGATTACAGTACTCAAAAAAAGGAAAGAAAAAAAGAGTTAAGTAAATAATAAAAAAGTCTAGTGTAGAGGAGTGAAATTTGATTACTTTCTTCATATTTATCCATATATTAAATGAATGGATTTTGGGATTTTGAAGCTGTTGGATTAATTTTTCATATTGTTTTTTTATTATTTATTTTTTTGCGTCAGGCTTTGATCGGTGGAATTGTGTGGCTACAGAGAGCGTGCGTGTTTGATTGATGTAGTTTTAAATTAAGCTACGTGTTTTTAAGCTCCCTTTAAAGCGTAACAGAACTTGACAGATCAGAACCTGTCAGATCAGAACCTGTCAGATCAGAACCTGTCAGACCAGAACTTGACAGACTAGAACCTGACAGACCAGAACTTGACCGACTAGAACCTGACATACCAGAACTTGACAGACTAGAACCTGACAGACCAGAACTTGACAGACTAGAACCTGACATACCAGAACTTGACAGACTAGAACCGTCAGACCAGAACTTGACAGACTAGAACCTGACATACCAGAACTCTGACAGGACTAGAACCTGTCAGACCAGAACTTGACAGACTAGAACCTGACAGACCAGAACTTGACAGACTAGAACCTGACATACCAGAACTTGACAGACTAGAACCCTGTCAGGACCAGAACTTGACAGACTAGAACCTGACATACCAGAACTTGACAGACTAGAACCTGTCAGACCAGAACTTGACAGACTAGAACCTGACATACCAGAACTTGACAGACTAGAACCTGTCAGACCAGAACTTGACAGACTAGAACCTGACAGACCAGAACTTGACAGACTAGAACCTGACATACCAGAACTTGACAGACTAGAACCTGACAGACCAGAACTTGACAGACTAGAACCTGACAGACCAGACCTTAACACAGAACAGAACTTAAAAGAACAGAACTTAACACAGAATAGAACTTAACAGATCAGAATTTAAACCAGGACCTAACAGACTTGAATATAAGAGACTAGAACTTAACAGACCAGAACCTGACACACCTGACCAGAACCTGACCTCTACCAGACCAGAACCTGACTCACCAGGACCAGAACCTGATACACACCAGACCAGACCCTGACAGACCAGATCAGAACCTGACAGACCAGATCAGAACCTGACACACCAGACCAGACCCTGACACACCAGATCAGAACCTGACACACCAGACCAGACCCTGGACAGACCAGATCAGAACCTGACACACCAGACCAGAACCTGACACACCAGATCAGAACCCGATACACCAGACCAGAACCTGACCTCATCAGACCAGAACCTGACAGACCAGAACCTGACTCATCAGACCAGAACCTGACACACCAGACCAGACCCCTGACACACCACACCAGACCAGAACCTGACACACCAGTCAGAACCTGACACACCAGACCAGAACCTGACCTCATCAGACCAGAACCTGACACACCGACCGACCCCCGACACACAAGATCAGAACCCTGACACACCACACCCAGACCAGAACCTGACTCCATCAGGACTCAGAACCTGACACACCAGACCAGACCTTGACACACCCACACCAGACCAGAACCTGACCCACAGGACCAGAACCTGACAGACCAGATCAGAACCTGACAGACCAGACCAGAACCTGACTCATCAGACCAGAACCCACTACCACGACCAGACCCTGACACACCACACCAGACCAGAACCTGACTCCCAGACCAGAACCTGACAGACCAGATCAGAACCTAATAGATCAGCCCCCGAGTTGAGTTGGCGAGACCACTAAACCAGTTCCATATAGACTCGAGGTAGCTAATTTTAGAAGCTCACGTCGATTAGTTCAGGGGCTGGGCTGGGCTGGCGATAAAGCGGCCACTTGTCTGATAAGCTGATAAGCGGTTGGTTATCAGTTCGTTATGTGGCGGAAATATGCCTGTGCAGTGGGCCACCTCTCTTGGGATCCTGATAGAGAGATGAGGAGGCTGGAGGAAAATGTCGCAGCCAGGAGGTATAAGACTGATTGTTAGTTGGCGGAACTTGACCTCCAGCTTGTTTGAGGTCTGGGGGTTGTGGGTAGTGGTTGGGGTTGTGGTGGAGATGGTGGTGGGGGTAATGAATCGTAGTGGTGGTGGGGAGGGCATATGCGAAGCACCTATGATGTGATGGGTGTGATTGATGGGTCACCTGTAGCTCTGATTGTGGTCGGGTAATAACCTTATCTTTTGCTGTGGTTATGGGTACAGTGGGGGCTGTACTGATCGCTGTGGTTATGGGTACAGTGATAGCTGTGGTTATGGGTACAGTGGGGTTGTATTGTTGCTTTGGTTACAGAGACAAATGTATAAAATGGAATGGTTTCTCGGAAGGATAATTTTTGTACGCTCGCAATTTTCTGTGGCTTTACTAATAAAATAAAATCCTATTGGAATGTATAGATTGTGTGAATGGAATTGGAATCTTGTATTGTATTCAGCGACATCATTACTAGTACAGGTTTAGCGATCCCTTTAAATTGGATCCAGGACTACGTTGGGTGTGGATATAAGAACGGCTGGCAAGTAACTCTGGGCCGGTTGACAGGTGAGGGAAGGTTTTACAGGGAGGGTTGGGTCTGGTTGACAGGTGAGGGGGTTTTACAGGGAGGGTTGGGTTCGGTTGACAGGTGAGGGAAGGTTTTACAGGAGGGTTGGGTCTGGCTTGACAGGTGAGGGAAGGGCTACAATGTAGGGTGCGGACGACAGGCGAGGATTACTTCTGTTGGATTATTATGATTTGTCAGGATTGCGGTGTAAAGACGTGACGTGGAAGAGATTGTGTGGGGAGCACAGAGGTCGCCCTATACCACTACAAAGGTCGCTTTGGTTGGGGCTTGAAGGTTCTCCGTATAACAAAAGAACTGTCATTTGGGCACAATTGGAGGCTGTGTCAAGTTGAACAATGAATTAGGTCTGATAGCGCAAAGATTTGGCTGGTTAGTGTCGTAGGTGAATGGGACGATACTGTAATCAGGCTAGTTAGTGGTATAGGTTGATCAGACGGGGTAGTGATTTACGCCATCTAATTAAGTGCTTTAGTGAGGGGAGAGGGCAGTGTGGCGGTGCTAAGGGCAGGTAAAGTCTGGGAGGGGAGACCCTGCCGTGTTCTGTCTGGCTTGCAGCACAGTGTTGATGTTGTTGTGGGTATTTTACTCTTGTGCCAGCCTACCCTACCATACTTAGCTTAATCTAGCCTAGGTAAACCTAGGGGACCTCGCCCAACCCAGCCCCAGTCTACCGTAGTCCAGTTCACCTTCCCGTCACCCTATGATCCTTTGTGAATACTCGACTGCTTTGGTGGAATTATTCTGTGTTTGGGTGTGAGAGTGTGTGGGTGTGCAGTTATGAGATAGTGGAATTGTTGAAGGTGTATGCGTGTTTATGGGCAGGAGGATGTGATGGTGTTAATGTGGATATGAGGGTGTTAGTGTGGGTATGAGGGATGTAATGGTTTGAGGGTGTGGCTGTATTTTGTGTGCGTGAATGCGGTGTGAAGGTGTGAGGGTTTGACAGTGGTTGGGTGGGTATGAAGGTGTGTTGGTGTGAGGGGTTGTGTGGTGGTGGTGTTGCACGTTAACTCTCTTTATTGTTTGTAGGGTTTATAAGAGACGTGCCAACCTGTAATACAGCCAGCCTGTGCACGCCCACGTCGGCAGCTTCCTCCGTTATGGCGGTGGAGTTAATGGTCACGTGCGTCGTAAATTCATTTAAGCCGGGGATAACGTGACGGTATCGGAACATTAACGACTTTCTGAGTTAGTCAATAGACAAAAGTTCTGTCGTGAGTTATTAATGTTTCAGCTTAACGTTCTGATATCGTAACAGTAACCACTTTAGATGGCTGTGGATAACGTTGCGATATCAGAATACATACCTTATACTGAACCTAACTAACGTTAATCTCCTGGACGATAACCTTATGATATCGTGACGTTGGCCACTTGGATTCATCTGAGCCATCGAGTTTTGAATAATATCAAAGAGCATAAGTGATGAAACTACAGCACTTGTCTTAAGGGATAAGTTATCAACCCACCGATACGTGTTTTCATAATGGACTCTCATACGATGGGGAAATTATGTCGTCATACTGTCTAATCACTGATGGCTTCAATAACTCTACTTTTATCTGGGGTAAATATTATTACACAACAGCAGTTTCGATCCTTGTTTACGGGCTGTCCATAGTATAGGTAATCCCGGTATACAATGTACCATAGACTGCAGGTATACAATGCACACTGATAGTATAAGGTGGTGAAATGATCAGTGCTTCTTCTATCACACTGCTGTATGGTGTCAGTTGTGTGTGCCAGAAAAAGAGAACTGCCGATGCTCTAGGGTGGAGGAGGCAGGCATGTATGTATGTATGTATGTATGTATGTATGTATGTATGTATGTATGTATGTATGTATGTATGTATGTATGTATGTGTGTGTATGTATGTATGTCTGTGTGTGTATGTATGTATATGTATGTATGTATGTGTATGTATGTATGTATGTATGTATGTATGTATGTGTGGCTACCCAACATAAGTCTTTGAACATTTGTTTTACTTGGGGCAATAGCTGACATCGTATTTTTGGGTCCTACATGTGATGATTGTATAGCTGGCGAACGTTACTTTTCGTTATAAATCAAGTCACATTAATATTTAAAAAAATAGAAACTAAAGCCAGAAAAACACTAATAGAAACACAAATCCAAGAAAAGGTTAACATCTCAGTCCTTGTTACCTACAGGAGTCAGGTAGCTGCCAGTTGTTGCCAAAAAGTGTCTGTGACGTTTTGTCCCCTACAGTACACTACAGTACGTGGTCGTGTTGAAAATAAGCCGCGAGTTATCTTACACAGTTACCGGTCGTATCAGAAGGAGGTTTTATGTGGTAAGAATCCTGGAGATAACTTTATCTTGTCTCGTGTTATGCTGAGGATGAATATAACAAGTTTTTATTTGTTTGTAACGTAAAATAGAGTAGGAAGGAGCGTGGATAAGGTGACTGCCAAGGCGTGGAAAGAAATATAATATCCTGTTGGCTGATTAGTTGGGGGTAATTCCCATCTTATTGTGACAGACAGACCGATTTTTTTCTTCCGCGTGAGTTTTTGTTTTTGTTAAATACTTATTGTCATGTACCTATGCCCTGCCACATACGATAATCACTACAATATTTCAGGTATGATTATTTTATTTTTTTATTTATATTTATTTATTGTTGTGTGTGTGATCACGCGGCGGATGGTGACGTAAGACAAAGGAGTTGGTTAACGAGTCTTGTGTGAATCCCCAGTACTACTGAACTCCAACAACCTGTTACTGAACCATAGAGATAATAGTTACACCAATCATTATCCACACTTAATTTTTTTTACTGACATTCTCAAATTAGATATCGGTGTGTTTAAACCCTGGCCCTGAGGTTTACCTAAGCTAAGTAAAATTCTAAAGCGTGACAATCGGTTGGAAAAGGTTAAAAACTATTAGTAAATATCCATATTTTTACACAATACATATCGTTGATTATATTTGATAATCATAGTTAAAACTTAATATAAATACCATAAAAGTCTAAACAAAAATCATTCTTCTTTACTCAGAAATATGGCCTCCTCCCACAAGGCATCCGGGTTTCGGGCTTCAGGATTCGGCTGGCTGAAGTCAAGATCAAAATCTTGGCCGGAATAACACGAGTCATGCCATCTGAGGACACTGCACTTGTAATACTGTCTCTGTCTAGTGTAACAGTCTTCAGTAATTACTTGATGTACACACCCACCGTTATAATAAGTCTTATTTAAAAATTTTCATGTATATATTTTGTTTGCTGCTAAAAATAGCATAGGGTCTACTGTTTATATATATATATATATATATATATATTATATATATATATATATATATATATATATATAT